GGTGGCCTCTGTGTCCCCTTAAGCTTGGTGACAGCCCCAAGGGAGGTTTCTGTGTCCCCTCAACCCCAGAGCAGGCCTCTGTGTCCCCTCAGACCATGTGACAGGCCCAAGGGAGGCCTCTATGTGTCCTCAGCTCTGGTGACAAGCCTCGGGGGTTGCTCCTGTGTCCCCTCAGCCCCGGTGACAGCCCCAAGGGAGGCCCCCATGTCCCTTCCCTCTGGTGGCAGGCCTAGGGGTTGGCCCTTGCCCCTCACTGCCCCAAGCCCTGTGGGTAAGAGGTGTAAGACACCCCCTCTCTCATCCTGCCCCTTCTTGTCCTTTTTTGTCCCCTGCCACAGCTGGTGCCAGACATAAGGGTTTCTTCTTGGGTCCCCATCCCAACAGGATAAGGGGCACCCATTTCCCCACTGTGTTACTGGTGACAGACTGAGGATGTCTTACTTTGTCCCAGACACTGGTGACAGGCTGGGGGTGACTGTTTGTCCCCTGGGGACAGCTTGGGGATACTCCCTGCCCCCTTGTCCCTCCAAGACCTGCTATGGGTGGCAGCTGCCTGTCTCAATGGAGGCAGCAGGGCTTCGGGTTGGGGTTCAGGTGGCTGTTGGAGGTCTCTTTGTCTGTGCCCGGTGGGTTTCGGTGTTGTTCACCCTGTGTAGATGTGCTCGGCACAGGTCCCCACATTTCCCCTCTCTGGGTGGTGATCGGAAGGGCTTGCTGGGCAGAACACCTTGGTTTGGGGTGGATGTGCATTGCCGTGGGCTTTCTTCCTCTGCAGAGCGCCGGCAGCCGAGGAGATCAAGCCCGGCAGCTGGTCATTGACCTGGAGACGCGAGGGAAACGGGCTTTTCCACTGTTCCTCTCCATCCTGCGGGACACTGGGCAGGGCGACCTTGCGGACATGCTGAGCCAGGAGTGTGAATGCCCACCGGCACCACCGCAGCTGGCAGACCTGAGGCCTGTTGAGCTGGACTTACGCAGAGAAAAATACAACAAGAGTAAGTAGCAAGGGCAAACAACAGTGTGGGGGTGGCAGCTGGGGTCCCTCTCACCATGGATAATAGTCTGTGAAGTCCTGATTTTTATTATCCTGGAGCATGGCTTGTAGAGATGACTACGCAGAGCTGTTGGGAGAATGCCATGCTTTCCAGTGGCGGAAGCTTTTAAGCCCCAGCTGTGTGCTCATGGCATTAGGAGCTTTCTTCTCTGTGTTTTTGCACACAACCTCTGTGATACCTTGGTGAAAATACCTTTTGCCATGTCCTCGCCATCTTGTGCTCTGCTGAATCTGCGTGCAGATCCAGCTTGAGTGGACTTAAGGAGAAACTATAGGCTGTCATATGCTGAAAAGGGGAATGCAGCTGCAGTGTTGTATCGTGCCCTTGCAGCAGAGTCACTGCAACAGGTGGCTGGTGGCTTCTGGGGACCCCAGGATGGATACTTGTAGCATTAAATTGGAAGACAGAAAAGCTGAGCCCCGACTGTCTTGTGTCATTGCAGATATGAACGTTCCTGAACGTTTGTCCACACCGGTCCAAGCTGAGAGCGAAAAACCTCAAATGCCTCCTGCACCAGCCTGGGGTAAGCCACGTCCTGGGCTCTTTTGGAGACACAGTGTGCCAAGTGCTTGTTTCCAGTGTGTGGCGGGGTGGGAAGGGAGAATTCATACGTGTTGCTGATGCGTCACAGGCGACAGGGAAGGTTTGACATTAATTCTAAGAGGAAAATGTATAAGGTCTTGTTGTGGCATGCAGAGAGCTAAATACCTTGTTTCTGTTGTGTGTTGTAGGTTCGGCTGTTGACAAGAGGAACCATGATCTGGTTGGTATTTGGTTAGGCCAAAAGCATTCCCTGTTAAACAAAAGCTCCATGCCTTGTGGGTGGCTACAAGAAAATAACCCCAGGGCAGCCAGTTCTCACTTTGTGTTAGCTGAGCTTGCTGTAACGGGGCCAATGGGCTCAGAGCAGCCAATCGTTTGCCAGCTCCTCTTAGCTAGAACACAGATGACATAATGTAGAGCTAAAGCTTTAGCTTAAACAGTTCCTGTTGTTCCCTTGTAAAATTCCTGTGGTGCTGTCGTCAATGGCAAAGTTGAGTCTCTGGGAAATTTATTTGCCCATTCTCTGGCTCCTTGTTTGGGCTCTTGTGGTGAGGTTTGACGATGATGCTGAAAAAACCTCATGGAAACTTCAACTTGACGTTGGAGATGCTGCAGGTAAAGAAGCGGCTGCTTTTCCACAAAGATGGTCCCCAGTTTGCAGACTGTTGTGTGTTCCCTGGCTGCTGATAACAATGTGCATGTGGAGTGGATGCTCTTGTGCATCCCTAGGCCTGGAGAAATGAAAAAGCTGTGAAATGAGCTACTTTAAGGCCTCCCGTTCCTTGTTGGCATTGCATCCTGCCGGATTAGTCAGTGAGTGCTCTGAGTAATTAATGTTTAATTGCAATGTGTGCCTGCCAGGTTTACGAACTGAAAGCAGACCCGTGCGGACACTGCCTGATCCTCAACAACGTCAACTTCAGTCGAGACTCGGCTCTGTCGACTCGAGACGGCTCCAATGTGGACTGCGGGAAGCTGGAGAAGCGCTTCAAGGCCTTGCGCTTCAGCGTCCTGACTCGGCGGGATCTCAGAGCTCAGGTGAGGCTGGCTGTGTCCAGGTAGCGTGAGGGGCGAGAGGTGAGCCCCGGGGAGTGATGGGAGCGCGTGGTGTTGGCCTCATGTTGGCAGTGCACCGAAAGCTCTGGCACTCAATCATCTGGAGTGGCCAGTGAATGTAAACTGAGGTTCTCAGCGGGTAAATCTTGTGGAAGCGTTTTGTTTTATGGTGCTGTGTGGTAAAGAATGCAGCGAGGGGAGAAATCTCTGTAATTGAAGCAACCAGTGTTAAACAGGGGCAGAACTGCAGAAATACTCAATGTCTGCTGATGGGTTTTGCTGTCTGTACGTGAGGCGTGTGTTATCCCGTAGCAGAGAGGTTGACTGGATCCTTCTGAGCAGTGTGGGGATGATAAAGTGATCAGAGCAGGGCCTGGGAGTGTTCTGTGGCTCAGGTGCAATTTGAAAAACTTACTGTGATGTTTTTTATGTAGGACATGGTTTTGGAGCTGCAGAATCTGGCACGGCAGGACCACAGCGCCTTGGACTGCTGCGTCGTGATCATCCTTTCCCACGGCTGTCAGGTGGGTTCGTCGCACCTCTCCCTTCGCTCATGAGCCGAGCTGCTCGTGTGGGAAAGGGTTGGATCCAGGCGCTGGTGTCTCACACAGTGGGAGGGAAGTGGTCTGTCGTGACTGATCTGACGGCTGTTTGGCTGTTGCGGTACGTTACATGGAGTTACATTCCTGTATCTGGGTTAAGGAAAATGGGAGCTTCTCCCATGTAGTGTGATCCAGTGTTGCCTGTGGATGAGTGTTTCGGAAGCCGAGGTGTGCAATTCAGAACCGAATGATGTGCAGAGAGTGAGGGGAGGCAACGCTCACCTTCAGACCATGGTTGTTCAGTCCTTCCTGTTCCTCCAGCTCTGGCTGGGGCGATGCTGTTAGTGTTAAAGCCCATTTATTGCAAGTCAGAGGCCTCAAAGGGCAAGAAAAGGAGAGCAATAGTCTGGAAAATGGTGTGTGTTATGTGCGCACCGTCCCAGAGGAGGAAGAACACTGTTGCTGGAGGCAGGATAGGAGTTGGATAAGAGGAGTCGGATTGCTGGGTTTTAGGGTGTTTCAAATGACTCCCGGGTGTCCCCTCACCCTGATGGGGTGCACACACATGCACAAACATGAGGAAGCAAGAGCTGTTCTGGTAACTTTAGGCTGCAAAGCGTCCGATTGACAATGGGCCCTCTTGGTACTGGCCCCCCTTCCGCATTACTAGCTCCTGGATTTTCCTCTTGCAGACGAGCCATATTCAGTTTCCTGGAGGTGTTTACGGAACGGATGGAAAACCCATTCCAATAGAAAAGATTGTGAACTATTTCAATGGGTCCCAGTGCCCAAGTCTGAGAGGAAAACCCAAGCTCTTCTTCATCCAGGCCTGTGGCGGAGGTGAATCTTTGTTTTAGCTCATGAAGCGACTCAGCTGTTGGGTGTAAGGAGGCTTTAGAGGCATGGTCAGACTTTGGCATCTCATTCTTTTTTTGTTTGTCACCTCTTTCTCCACTGTCTTTTCTTCCTCTTGGCCACACATTCTGACTGCTGGCACAGAGGGAGTAGGAGGGCTCAGGTGTGAGCCTCTCGTAAGAGGGCAGTACTGATTTGCCTGTGCTGGAAGGGTTTTACCGCACAGTAGGGATGCAGGATGGAAGGAGAGGAGTAAGCACAGCCCCCAGCCAGGCAACACACGCTGAGGGGCTGCACCAGCTCTTCCGCCACGAGGTTAGAAGGGAAGCATGGACCGAGGGTGTTTGCGTGAATCGCCAATGGCTCCGACTTGACCGGCACAGCATAAAAGCTTGGTTTTATTAGAGGGCACTTAGTCTTTTTATTTGGATTTTCATCTTTTCTTAAAGGAGGATGTATGATCATTGAATGCTTGAGTAAGATGAATGTCAGGGCTTGCCTTGTTGTTGCTTTTTGCAGAACAAAAAGATCTAGGCTTTGTAGTGGATTGCGACTCCCCCGGAGACGAAGCTCCCGGAGGTTCTTTGGAGTCGGATGCGACTCCTTTCCAGACTCCGGCAGGTAACGTGGACGAGCTGGATGCCGTAGCCTGTTTGCCCACGCCCAGCGACATCTTGGTTTCCTACTCAACTTTTCCAGGTGAGAGCCCATGCAAATCCTTTGCTGTATACAGGGGAATTAGCAAAATAGTCGGAGCTTCGTGGCCAAAATCAGAGGCAGTTGAGGGTGACAGGCTCCATTGGAGATGGCACCTGGGAGACAGTAGTAATTTGGAGAGACAAGATCAGCAGCCTAGCTTTAGGAGTGATGTTCTCATGCTCTCTCTGAAGGTTTTGTCTCCTGGAGGGAGGTGTCGAGGGGCTCGTGGTACGTGGAAACGCTGGACAGTGTGCTGGAGCAGTACGCCTGTCTGAACATGTTACTGCGGGTAAGCATCCTTTTTTCCTGCTTTGTGTAGTCATGAAGGTGACAGAGAAACAAAGCTGTGATCAGGTGTGGAGGCCTACACTTAAAAAAGGAATGAGGATAACGAGCCTTCAGTTTATGGCTTGGCTAATTTGAGGTGCTGTGGAGAGGTGTAATTAATAAGAAAGCGTCTGCCAAAAATCTCTCCAAGGTTTCTCTAGTGAGAAATAGTCCTGAAAACACAGGCTTGAATAGTTTCCAAGGAAATTGTTAAAAAGTTACCTTAGACCAAAGCCTTCAGGAAGATGATGCCAGATGTTTGTGTTCATGTCCTCGCCACTGTGCTTCCTGCGAGAGGTCATGCCCCTAAAGCATCCCGCTCCTCAACTCTCTTTCTGTCCTCAGGTGGCAAACGCTGTCTCTGCCAAGGGGACGTACAAGCAGATCCCAGGCTGTTTCAACTTCCTCCGTAAAAAATTCTTCTTCAGGTGCAAATGATGTGCGGGCTCCAAGGTCTGTGCCGAGCGTGAGAGTTTCCTCCCCGTGGCCGGATGAAATCTGCACCCACTGAGACTTAGCATTGATGCTCCCAGTGGCTTTTGTCTGTCTGTCAGGATGTTTGTCTTCAGAAATGTGCTCTGTGAATGCTATGAAACAGGGATAAAACGGTGTCTGGTGTGGTGCTGATGGGAAACATTCAGGGTGGAGCAGGGATGGGGAAGGAAGCCCCTTTGCTGGAGAACGTGCAGGGAGGGAGGCTCTGTGCTCGCATGGGAGAGCCCCTCTAGCTCACTGTGACATGGCCATGCTCAGCCTCCAGGGATCTTTCTGTTGCTGATCGTGGTGTTTGTGTCCTTCAGTGCCAGGATAACCAGTCAATGGAATCAAGGTGTGGTGCTTAAGGGGAACAATGATTTTTGTAATTGATATTTCTGGTTTTCAATAAAATGCAGTGAAAAATCTTGTGTGTTGTGTTCCCTCATCTGTTTTGTTATTTCAGCATCTCCCAAAGAC